GCTCGACTAGGGGGTCTAAAGAGGCTCCCGCTAGGCCGTCTAAGAGGCTCTTCCAGTGATCTAAGAAGGTTCTGCCTAAGTGGTCTAAGAAGCTCTGCCAGTGGTCTAAGATGCTCTGCTAGTGGTCTAAGAAGCTCTGCTCGTGGTCTAAGAGGCTCTGCTAGTGGTCTAAGAGGCTCTGCTAGTGGTCTAAGAAGCTCTGCTAGTGGTCTAAGAAGCTCTGCTAGTGGTCTAAGAAGCTCTGCTAGTGGTCTAAGAGGCTCTGCTAGTGGTCTAAGAAGCTCGGCTAGTGGTCTAAGAAGCTCTGCTAGTGGTCAAAGAGGCTCTGCTAGTGGTCTAAGAAGCTCGGCTAGTGGTCTAAGAAGCTCTGCTAGTGGTCTAAGAAGCTCTGCTAGTGGTCTAAGATGTTCTGCTAGTGGTCTAAGAAGCTCTGCTAGTGGTCAAAGAGGCTCTGCTAGTGGTCTAAGAAGCTCGGCTAGTGGTCTAAGAAGCTCTGCTAGTGGTCTAAGAAGCTCTGCTAGTGGTCTAAGAAGCTCTGCTAGTGGTCTAAGAGGCTCTGCCAATGGTCTAAGATGTTCTGCTAGTGGTCTAAGAAGCTCTGCTCGTGGTCTAAGAGGCTCTGCTAGTGGTTAAAGAGGCTCTGCTAGTAGTCTAAGAAGCTCTGCTAGTGGTCTAAGAAGCTCTGCTAGTGGTCTAAGAAGCTCTGCTAGTGGTCAAAGAGGCTCTGCTAGTGGTCTAAGAAGCTCGGCTAGTGGTCTAAGAAGCTCTGCTAGTGGTCAAAGAGGCTCTGCTAGTGGTCTAAGAAGCTCGGCTAGTGGTCTAAGAAGGTCTGCTAGTGGTCTAAGAAGCTCTGCTAGTGGTCTAAGAAGCTCTGCTAGTGGTCTAAGAGGCTCTGCTAGAGGTCTAAGAGGCTCTGCTAGTGGTATAAGAGGCTCGGCCGGTCGATTGTTTCTACCTCGTTCAGAGTTCAGGGGTCGGGGCACTTCTCAACGACCATCTGTAAAGAGTTTGTGTCGCTTAATTCAGCAGGGCGGGCTCCATTTAACCACTAGGACCTCCACCAGGCTCGCCCTGAACGCTGGGTGGGTGGGCAGGGTCAAAGGTCAAGACCCAGCCCCCCGCTTGAGAGGACGTGTTGCTTTTGGAAAGCGTGTGTGGATGATTTGAAGTGGTCCCCGTAAAGAGCACAAAGCAGCAGGCCGTCAGTCAGGTGTCTCCGTGACTCTCAGCCGGTCAAAGGTCACATTCTCACCTGCCGCAAACTCGTGTAATTGTACGACAACAGTTGTTTGTTTGTGCAGGGTGGGAATGTGGGCGCTCCCTGCTTCAGAACACGATTCATCAGCTCTCAATCTTTCCTTCATGATGCAGCTGCCGTGTCTTTGTATTTTAAATCGTATCAGTCATTTATTTAAGATGATGTCATTGTTGTCAAAATAAGCTAAGCAGTGGTCTCGTATTGATTGGCGACGCGTCGCTCTCCCCGCCCCGGAGCAATGAGAGCCGGCGGCCTGACCCCCGCTCACCTCTGTGAGGACCCCTGTAAGGGGGGCGGGGGGGGGCAGCAGTCAGTGACCAGGGCCGCCGTCTCTTCAGGTCCAAAAGCTGCAGCCAGAGACCGAGTGAAAGTGAGACGGACTTCACCCTCAGCTCAGCGGCGTTTGACGGCACTCGTTTGTTTAAAGTCTGAGGCTTTGTGCATCGATGCGAAGACAAACTTTCAGTGTCGGCGACCCGGAAAAAGGTTTAAAGAAATGTAACCTGACTGGTTTCCATCGATTATAGGACGTCCATCTTTGACTAAATAACTAAATAAAATCTCAGGAGACTAACATGCATGATTTTGTTGATTTTAATCAACAGAAACCACAATATTGTGTAGCTCCGCCCTAAAGCGTCCCCCGCTTTATGGTCTGTT